GAGGCCAGGATGAGGAGGGGAGAAGTCGGGGAGGGAAAAACTAAACCAGCAGCAGCGGTGGTGGCCTCCTGGGGCTGTGGATTACCCCAACCATGAGGCCCAGCGCCAGGCCCAGAGTGGCCCGGGCCCAGGGGGCTCCGGAGCCGGGACACCTGAGGCCCAGGGAAGGGGCCGCAGACCCGAGATGCCGGCCAGATGGCTGGTCTTGTCCTCCCAAACACCCCCGTGAGCTGGAAACCATGAGCGCACCATTCTACAGACAAGGAAACTGTCACTCAGAGGGACCGAGGGACAAGCCTCAGATCACACAGCCAGGAAGTGGGAGGATGAGATTCAAACCTGGTCTCAAAGCCTCTACGAGAGTCAGTCTTGCCATCTGGAAAACAGGCGCCTGAGTCCCAGGCCTGTTCTGGGAGCTGCCCTGGACGCCTCGGGAGCCCCGAAGGCGAGCCGCCAAGCACGGCGGCTGCCCCTCTCTAGTCTCACTGTCCCATTTGTGCAATAGCAGGGTCACATCAGGCCACATCGAAGGAAGGCCCAGGAGCTCGGTGGGTCTGACCCAGGGGAGCCTCAAAGCGTGGCTCTGCCCATTTCCCATAAGCCCCTGCCCCCCCACCCCGGGTGGGGGGATGTAAGAAGAGCCAGAGGTAGAGCCTGGGGGAGCCCGCCCCACAGCCCTGTGGCTCCCCAGAGGTTGCCCTGACCCAGGGAGGGACAAGACGGTGCCGGCAGCGGGGAGCTGGGCTGGGGGGACAAAGCGGGAGCGCAGGGTTGGTGAGAGCAGGATTTAAGGCAGCTGGGAGTGAAGGGGCATTGGGAAGCCACTGCCAAGAATAACACTGTTCACCACATTGGGGAGGGAGTGCTTAGCATGGCCCTGCATGGTGCTGAGCGCTTGACAGTTGTTCATTCATTCATTCAGCCACCCTGCAAGTCTTTAGTGAGCACCTTCTTGCGCCAGGTGCCATGCTGGGGGATAGGAACGTAACAATGATCATGAGGGACAAAAATGGAGCTGCCGTCCTTGGGGAGGTAGACAAAGAAGCAAAACCATGATGTCTCAGGTAGTGGTAAAAGCTACAGAGACGGGCGCCTGGGTGGCTCAGTTGGTTAAGCGACTGCCTTCGGCTCAGGTCATGATCCTGGAGGCCCTGGATCAAGTCCCGCATCGGGCTCCCTGCTCGGCAGGGAGTCTGCTTCTCCCTCTGACCCTTCCCCCTCTCATGTGCTCTCTCTTATTCTCTCTCTCTCAAATAAATAAATAAAATCTTTTAAAAAAAGCTACAGAGACAAACTAAGAGAGGAAGGGGGTGTCTGGGGTCAGAGGAAGCCTCACTGAGCTGTGACATTTGCGCAGAGACCTAAAGGAGGAGTGAGAGCAAGCCACCTTTGGGAAGGTGTAGCAGGCACTGAGGATGGGAAGTGCAAAGGCCCTGGGGTAGGAGCATGCCTGGCACATTTGAGGGATAGCAAGTGGGTCAGTGTGGCAGGGATGGGGTGAACCCTCCCAACAGCCAGCAGGGCGGGTACTTCCACTATCTCCCCTTACAGAAGAGGAAATTGAGGCTCAGAGAGGGGGAAGTGACTTGCCCAGAGTCACACTGTCAGGAAATGGCAGCTCAGGGAGCAGAGTACAAGTCAGGCTATGCGTGGAGGGGGAAGTTTATGTGACAAGGCTGCGTGGCCCAGGGGTGACTCCCAGGCAGCCTGTGTCACCTGCCCGTGTCATAACCACAGATGTGGTGATTGTGTATCCCAACAAACTTACATCCTATCCTCACCAGCCTGGCACTCCTGCTTTCTCTGCCCAACCCTGGGAGCCTCAGCCCTGCACTCATCCTGCCTCCCAGGCCCTCTGAGGTCTAGAGGGCACTGGGTAGCCAAGAACCCAGGGAACTCATTCATGCTAAATTGTGAGTGACTGCTAACAATCCCTGGTTTATCCCTATGCCTGGGTTGACCTTTAACTAGGTCATAGAAGTTTTGCAGCCTTGGTTTCCCCATCTGTCAAATAATGGGCCCCCTTAGGTGGTCTCCACTAGGAGTTGAAGATTCTTGGGTGCACAGAGGGACAGGGCTTCCTGAAGTCACACAGCCAGGGAGTAACAGAACCAGGATGACCCCAGCCTACTGACTGCAGGACAGTGCTTTATCCTGGAGCTCAGCCTGCTGTCCTGTCTTCACCAACCTCTCCTCTGCCACCACCCTGGACCCCCTCACTGCTCACAGTCCCAGGCTTTTGCACATGCTATCCCCTTCTTGGGAGTACCTTTCCCCTGGGCAATCTCCTCCGCTCATAAAGGACAAACAGAGCAGGATCAGGGTGCAGAGAGAGACAGTATAAAGGAGGTGGAAGATATTGATGCTGACAAGGGAAGGGGGCTCAGAGAAGGCTGCTCTGAGGGGTGGCATCCACGCTGAGACCTGAAGGGGGTGACGGAGTGAGTCATGTGAATACATGGTAGGTGAGGTTTCCAAGCACAGGGAATAGCATGTGCAAAGGCCCTGGGGTAGAAAGGTCTGAGGCTTATTAGAGGAACAGCAAGGAGGCCATTGGGTTGGAAAGGAATAGCAAGGGGAGGGTGGGAGGAGATGAAGTCATCAGAGAGGTATAGGGTTTGCTGGGGGAGGGGATTACACAGGGCCTTGAGGACCATGGGGGTGACTTTGGCTTTTATTCTGAGCAAGGCGGGAGCCCTGGGAGGTCTCTGAGCAGGGGAGGGACAGGATCTGACTTAGGTCTAAGGGGATCATCCCCTCTGGCTGTGTGTGGAGAACAAACTGTAGGCATGAGGCCCCCAGGCTGGTGGCCTGGGCCAGCGCAGGGCAGCGGAGACAGGGTTGGGGGGGAGGGGGGTGTAATAGCATGTGGTGAGCAATCAGATCTGGGGGCAAGTGAGAACAAAGGGTCAAGGATGACTCCCAGGTTTGGGGGCACACCTGGAGGATGGGGGAGCCAGTAACTGAGACGGGAATAGTTTTGGGAGAGGATCAGGGGTTTTTGTGGGGGAGACTCGGGTCTGGAGTCAGGGGAGATGTCCAGGTTGGAGAGATGCCTTTGAAAGTCTCCGGCATTTAGATGAGGACAAGGACTGTGTTTTGGGCACCCGTGCGCCCCCTCACCTTCCCTCCCCCCAGCACCAGGCTGGCCTGGGGGAGGCCTCAGGGAGCATCTCGGGGACCCTCGAATGAATCCATGAGCACGTGTCTTGAGTACCTGCCGTGCTTGGGGCCAAGCCAAGCTCTTCCTTTCACAGACCCATTTCTTTCTCGCAACATCCTAAAGGGGTAGATCCCACCGGAGCCCTGTTTACAGAGCAGAGAGTGAAGGAATTTGCCCAAGGTGTCCCCAGCATTGGGGAAATAAACTATTGAGTTAATTAATTTGGGAAGGTTGCCCTCAAAGAGGTAGAGGAGGCAACGGGTGGGGCTGTCAGGGGAGCGCCCCCTCCATGCTTAGCAGCCACGGACCATGATGCTGGGGCTGGGGGAGGCCAGAGGTAGCTGAGTCACCAACATCTCAACCTCCAAGCCAGGGGTATGCTGCAGTGGGTCAAATACACAAGACAGGGAGAGAGCCACAGAGTCAGAGAGAGACGGGACAAAGACAGGGACAAAGGGATCCAGGGAGACACAAAGAGAGACGGAACTCAGGAGGGGCTGACTCCTTTCCCAGCCCTCCTTCCCCCAGGACCTCATCACTGACCCCATCATCCTCTCCATCACTACCAACTCCCTCCAGGGAAAGACTGAGCCTTCCCGCAGACGGTACCGGGCTGGAATCCTGGCTCAGGGGCTGCCCACCGGGTGACATTAGACAGGTGACTCCCCCTCCCCATCTGTGAGGCAAGGTTGATGGCACTCGCACAGCGGGGGGTGTGGGGGGGCTGGTGTCTGGAACCAACAAGCACCCTAGAATGCTAGGTGCCCCCCCTGGGGCTGAGGGGGGAGTGAGGACACACTTTCTGAGGTCAGGGCCTGTGTTCCCCAAGGGGTCATTATTCATGTCTTCGTTCTTCCACCAAAGATTTATTGAGCCCCTACTGTGTGCCAGGTGCTGTGATGGGCCCAGGGGACACAGATAAGTGAAAAAGGCAAACAAAAGCCCCTCCCCTGGTGGAGCTGACATTCTAGAGGGAGAGACAGACAAGCAACTGACAATTAATGCACATGCACCAGGTAGAGAGAGGGGCAGTGGCGGAAAGAAATCAGGGCACATGGGGAGGAAACGTCCCCCGGAAGGGGGCTCCTTATCACATACTTGCTGAGTACGGGGCACTTTCACCGGATTTATCGCAACAGAATGTCCCCAGCAATCCAGGACACAGGTCCTCTTCTTGTCCCCATTTCCCAGGTGAGGAAGTAGACTCAGAGAGGTGAAGTGACTTGCCCAAGGTCACTTCTTGAAAGGGGCGGAGCCAGAATTTGAATGGGCCCCGAAGTCCTGGGCACAACCAGAAGCATGTAATCCAAGGTGGGATGAGTCAATAGCACTCCAGCGAGATACCAGGGCAAGGGCTTGAGTGCGGGACCATCAGGCAGAGAACGAGGCTTGTGCCAGAGGCCTCAGCAGACAACAGGCTAAGGACCGAGGGATCTAGGTCCTTGGGCTCCCTGGCAGGGCCCCAGCTCCAGCACCCACCGGCAAGGCCCTAGTTAGGGTGACAGCCACACCCCGGCTCAGCCTCTGGCCCGCGCCGCCTGCTGGGAACACACAGTCCTCAGGACTCGGAGGCTCAAAATAGAAAGCTCGGAACCTGGGTCAGAGCCTGGAATGCCTGGGCAGGCAGGCCGGGACTCCTGGATCAGCCCGTGTACTGCCTGGCCCTGGGGCTGGCAGGGCGACAGAATCATCAGGATTCACTGCTAGGGCCTCGGTCCCATCTGCTCCGCTCCTGAAAGTTTCCGAGGTACCAGCTCCAGGATCTCACAAACCCAAGCTCATCTCCTCTCCTGGCTCAATCTCAGACTAGCTGTGTGGCCTTGGGCTGGTCACCTACCCCGAGGGACCGCTGTGTCCTTATCTGCCAAGAACTCGTAGAGTTGTTTGTTCGGTCATTCAGCAAATGTTTGTTGAGCATGGATTACATTCTGGGCACCGTGCTGGGCGCTGGAGCTACAACAGAGAACAAAGGAGACGAAACTCGTTTTTTTTTTTACTTTTAAGATTTATTTATTTATTTGAGAGAGAAAGAGAGAGAGGCGCAAGCGGGGGGAGGGGCAGAGGGAGAGAGCGAATCTCCAGCGGACTCCCCGCTGAGCCCGGTGCCTGACCAGGGCTCGATCTCAACGACCACAAGATCATGACCTGAGCCGAAATCAAGAGTCGGACGCTTCACCATCTGAGCCACCCGGGCGCCCCAAAGCAGACAAAAATCTCATGTCCTTGTGGATCAGTAAAATCCGCAGTTGTCAGATGGTGATGAGCATCCCAGGGGAACATAAAGCAGAAAAGGGGGGGTGCAATACTGGGTGGGGGATAGAAGTGGGGGGTCAGAGGAGGCTCCATATGAAGATGACACTTGAGCAGAAACCTGAAGAAAGGGACAGAGGGGGCCCTGTGGACACTTGGGTGAAGAGTGCTCCAGACAGAGGGAACAGCCCATGCAAAGGCCATGAGGCAGCATGAGCTTGGACTGTTTCAGAGACCCCGAGGAAGTCAGTATAGCTGGAAGGGTGAGTGAGGAGGAGGAGGAAGAGGAGGTCAGATGATGGGGGAAGAACCTGAAGCACTCGGGGTACAATTCAGCAGGAGAATAACACGGCTGAGCCACAGTTTTAAAGGACCCCTCTGGCTGAATGTGAGGAGGGAATTTCTGGCGGGGGGGCCTCGATGGAAGCTTCTGTGCCACGGTGGACAGGAGGCAATGGTGGCAGTGGATGCAGACGGAAAGACTTGGAGGCCGCTGTGGGCCTCAGGAGGCCCAGCAGGAAGTTGGTGGTCACGCAGCCCAGCCCAGGAGGCTGACTGGTTTGTCCAGCCTGAAGCCTACGACCCCCCACCCCCACCCTGTATGGGCCTGTGGCAGCCCCAGGGCTGGGAAACGTGCCTGGAATGTCAGCCATGAGGCCCAGGGGTCGGACAGTGCCCATGGGACCCGCCAGTGGCCGGGCGAGCACCCGGCCACAGCCCTGCCCACACATGGAATCTCTTGGGCCCACTGACCAGGGTAAGTGGTAATTACAGGCCCTGGAGCAGAGGGGGAGGGGACCCCAAGCCAGAGCCTCCCCCACAGCCACTCCCATTTACTGAGCACCTATTTCATGCTGAGCCCTCACCACACACCATCCCATCCCCTTGGCAGCCCAAACCTGTGCTGCTGGGATGTCCACGTGACCCACCCTGCAGATGAGGAAGCAGACCTGCTGACAGCCCCACAGCAGAAGCCAAGGCATGCAGGCGTCGAGATTAGTACCCAGGACCCCAAACCGGGCTGCCAACGAACTGCTCCAGAGACCGGGGAGAGTCAGGAGAAAGTTCTAGAATGTGAGTGCCCTGGGGCTTTCTCTGGGTCTCAGCTCCCTCATCTGTCCTTCATTCATTCATTCCCAAGTGTTTACTGGGACCTGCTCTGTACAGACACCGCACTGGGAGCGGGATGTAGAGCAATGAACAGCACAGACAAAACTCCCCACCCGAGCGATGGTGACATTCCAGTGGAAGAAACCAGTCAAGAAGTCAGATAAATAAGCAGAGCAATTTTTAGAGTAGGCTGTAAGTCCTAGGAAGAAGATGAAACAGCATGAGCCGATGGAAGGGAGGGCTAGCCAGGGAGGGCCTCTCTGAGGGGTGACTTTGGAACCAAGGCCCGACTCACTTCATGGGGAGAGCTGAGGGGAGAGTGTTCTCCAGTCCAGAGGGGACAGCAAGTGCAAAGGCCCTGAGGCAGCAGCATACAGTTATGTTCAGCCATAGGCCGGGGGCCAGTGAGGCTGCAGCTGAGCAGAAAAGGGGAGAGAATGGGTGGACTGTGGTAGGAGGAGGGAGTGAAGTTAGAAAGGGCTTCAGGACAGGGGAGGTGATCCCCCAGAGCTTTGTGGGCTGCTGTGAGGACTCTGGCTTCCACTCTTGAGTGCACTGGGAACCATGAAGGTTCTGAGCAGGGGAGGGACAGGATCTGTCTTGGGTTCTAAGGGAATCCCTCTGGTTTAGAAGGGCAAGAGCGGAGGCAGGGAGATGAAGAGAAGACTGCAAAGGTCCCAATGGGAGAAGGCAGTGCTGGCCCAGGGTGGGACAGTGGAGGTGGACCCTTGGACACTTGGATGAGCTTGCTGATGGCCCGGCCATGGGGCAGCAGAGGGATACCCAGGTCTGGAGCCTGGGCAGCCAAGTGGCTGCCATCACCATAGTGGGGAAGATCCCAGGTTTGTGGTGGGGGCAGGGGGCTCTTCTGGGCATGAGGTCCCACTTGGGGTAAAAGAGGGGCACCTAGTCCCCCGCACCCCTGCCTCAAGCACAGTATCAGTGAAGGGGGTCCCATGGTCAGATGGCCCCAGAATCTAGGACCCCAGAAATGAGGTGCTGTCGACCTGTGAGAGCCCTGCGGACAGAGCTCCCATGACCAGCCCAACCTCAGCCCAGAGTGAGCAAACTCACTGTTCTTTGCTCTGCTCTGAGCATCCGCCAGACTCCCTAGAATCCTAGAGGGTAGGAGGTTGGGACCGGAACAAGGTTGTATGTGCCTCCCCTGCCAGCCAAACAGGGCTGAGGAGGACTCATGGCCAGCTCTTCCCTCCACATCTGCGTCCAGCCTGTTCCCTTTTGCCCTCTTCCCTTGCCTACCCTACCACTGGACTCCGGCTGCTCGCCCCCCGCCTGCCCCCGAAGCCTTCAGAGCTGGCACCCAGCATCCCTCACGGGACTCACAGCTGGGAACTCGGCTCCAGCCCCCGTGACGCCAAACTCCCCGTCCATCTCATCATCACTTGGTTCTCCGATTCTAAGTTCCTGTTTCACAGAGGGAGGAACTGAGGTTCTAAGAGAGGGGGCAGGTTCCCAAGGTCACAGCCAAGGCAGTGGCAGGATTTAAACTCAGGTCTGTCTAATTCCAAAGCTCTTAACCCCCACGCGGTACAGATGCTGGCTTAGGTGGGCAAAGACAAGGCTTGGGGCACGAGCGTTCTATTTGGGAGGTGATCCCAGAAACACCAGTGGGGAATGAGGAAGTGAGACAGGAAGGGAGGTGAATAGGTCGCCTCTGTGGGCTCGGCATCCTGGAACCTCTGGGAGAAGGAGTAGAACATGCGTCTGCATTGTCCCAGCGCATCTACGCGCCCGTTCCCACCTCCCCTGGCTAGTGTCTCTCACGTCCGCCCCACACTCTGCAGCCTGAGTGACTCAGGATCGCAGCCCCAAGTGTGCCCTCCCAGGTGGACGCGGAGAGGACCCGGTACTGTGACCATCCCAGAGGCATCTTCCGTCCCTCTCTCTTCCCACGCTGCTTCTGACCCAAAAACAGAAGCCTGAGAAACCAGAGCTGGTACAGATGGGAAAACTGAGGACCAGAGGGTCCACCCCATGCCACGGGCTGCGCGGTGGGAGAGTGGCTGAATGGATCTCCCTTCTGGGCCGCCTGACTTCTGGAACAGTACTGGCCCTGGGTCACAGACGATGACCCGCAGGACGCGGCTGAGCTGCGTGACTATGGGCCGGCCCCTCCGCCTCTCAGAGCCTCAGTGTCCTCCGCTGAAGAAAGGGATCATTAAAACAATACAACAACAAAAAACTACCTCCCAAGATTTTTGTGGGGATTTGCTGGGACACTAGATCTAAAGGGCTTAGAACAGCACAGGGCAACTAGCAGGTGCTTACATAAATGTCGGTGTTTAGAGGAGGTCATGCCTGGCGCCCAGAAGGCGTGCGGTAAATGGGAGCCTTGTCATTAGAGTTGTGATCGTTGCTTAGGGCCCGAGCCCAGGCCGTCCCCCAACAGGGACACGATGCTGGCTGAGTGACCTCCCCAATTTCCTGGGTCCCCCAGCCTCTTGCTTAAGGCTGCTGAACTTGGGAGAAACAGAGGAGGAGGAGGAAGGGGCCGGGGCCTGGGCCAGGCCTGCTAGCGGTAACTGCGGGCAGTGACCCTGCCTGAGAGGCCCCTATCCACCCGTCCACCCATCCGCTGGAGCCGCCTGCCCATTCCACGCAGGGGACGCCTAGTCTTGCACAAGACAGGAAGAGGGAGGCCCGGGGTGGTGGCGGGTGACGCCAGGACCCCATGTCCACCCGCTGCAGACAGGATGGGCAAGGGAGGCCCCAGCCAGGCTTCCTGTGTGCTGAGTGCACTGGGTAGAAAGGAGAAGTGGTGTCCGGGGTCACAGGGAGATCCGGGCAGTGCCTTCTGCTCCCTGGCCCAACTGTTCCACCCGCTGTCCCTGATGTAGGGGCCCAGAGTTCAAATCCCACCTCTGCCATCTCCCAGCTGCGTGACTGTGGACAACGCAGCTCAGGGCCTCTGAGTCCAGGCCCTGCTGGAGAACAGGGAAGCCGTTCCTCCAAGCCTCCCAGCCCCTTGGGGGTATGTCATCACCATGCCCATTTGACTGATGAAGAACCCAAAGCCATAGGCTGTTTTCAAGCAGCATCTATTATACTTGAAGATTTAGGGGCACGATGGGGGAGGACAGCTCTGAGGACCCAGTGCATGCTGGAGACACAACGATGAAGCCAATGTGATCTCCTATCCACAGTCCTGGGCCCACAGCAGGCATTACTAATCAATTATGATTCTCCCTCCAAGGAGTCCAGAACCCTGCTCAAGATAGCTCTCCAGCCACTGTCCAATCAAGCACCTGCGACCCGAGTAAGGAAGGAGAGTATGTCTGCCTGCTCCAGCCCAGCACCAGGCTGGATCAGAGAAACACTCCCAAGAAAGAGGCTGCCTTCTGGCAAGCTACCTTCAGATAGGTCTCTAGAATCAGGAAACAAATCTACTCCTGCCTGCCCAGACTCTCAAGGCCCCCGCCTTGGGGACAAACCTGATCTGAAGAAGGCATCTCCCCAGCAGGGTTGCCAAGTGGTATATGAACAGCCCATAAGGCAGAAGCAGCATACTGGGGGGACCACAGTGGCAGAGTAACTAAGTAACTGAGAAGAGGCTGGGTCCAGGCTGGGGCGGGGAGGGAGCCAGGAGGGGGACAGGCCAGGTTCCCGGCACGCTGGGGGCTCCACCAGCAGCTCCAGGGAAAATCCAGTGACACAGAGCCCCACGGGGGGGGGGGGGGGGGATCGGGTGAAAGGAAAAATGAAACCGAATGCAGAGGGCTGGACCTCCCGCCAGCCCCTGACCATCCAGCTCTGCTTCACTGCCCCCATCCTGGTCCAAGACACCATCGCCGCTCACCTGGAAACCCGCAGTTGTTTCCAAGCCGCTCTCCCTGCTTCACCCTTGTCCCCACCACAACCTCCCCATGTGGCAGCCGGAGGGATCAAAAGTGTAACCCTGACCAAGTCACTCCCCTGATTCAACCCCCCCGGTGACCTCCCATCACATTTAGGATAAAATCCACATGACCGTGCCTGGCCCAGCCCTGGACATCTGGCTCCTGCCCCCGCCAACACCACCTCCTTCTTTTCCCATCACTCACCTCCCCAGAAATATAAACATCTTCCTGTTCCTAAAATGAGTCCACCCGGATTCCCACCTCTGGACCTTTGCTTGCTGTTCCCTCCACCTGTAAAGTTCCCCCCTCTTTTCCCTTGGTGGCCGCGTCTCAATTAGTCAGGTCTCCATAAATGCCACCTCCTCTCAGACCACCCCCCAGCCCCTGCCAGGGGGGTTCCCCTGTTACTCACCCCCCACTGGACCCCTCTGCTTATGTCTCTATAACATGTATCTGTGTCCGGAAGGACCTCCTTACTTGTACGTTTGTCTCTCTCTCTCTCTCACCGGAATGCCAGCCCCACAAGGGCAAGCATCATGTCCACCCTGGTCACCGCTATGTCCCTAGCACCTGGCACACAGTAGGTGCTCAATAGATGTTTGTTGAAAGAGACTGAGAGGAAACGGCTTCAGTCATGTAGGGGGTTCTCACTGGAATCTTCCGAGGCCATATTTGCAGTCCTTCCCCGGGAATGACAGGTCGGTCCCCCTCGGGTGCCAGGTCCCAGCCTGCGCACGCTGCTGGCGAGAATTCTGATATCAGTGGGAAAGATGATCGATTCGTGATGTCTGCCGCAGGGCAGGCAGGATGGTGGGGCGTCTGCAGGCATGTATGTCTGGTTTGTTCATTGCTGTCTCCACAACACCGGGACAAGGCCTGGCACACAGTGGGTGCTCAATAAATATTTGTTGAAGGTCAAATACATGGGTTCTTTATCTAATTGGCTACTCCCTTCAGGAAGAAAAACACCTTTAGCGCATTCAACCAACAACCTTCGGCCAGCCATTCAGTGAGGCCCACCATGTGCTAATCCTGAGAACAGGCAAGAGAGAGGTTCTGATCCTCTAGTTGGAAGGAAGAGGAGGAGGAAGCCCAGCTAATGAGGCTCGATCACAAGGTCACCCAGCTGGGTTCAGCTGACCAGAAAGTTCTTCAAGATCCCAGTCTGTCATGCCTCCCCAGGGCATCCCTAGCCCCCTCCCTGGGGTTCAGGGGATGAGGACAGGCAGCCTCTACTTCCCTTTTGGGGCATGCCACAGGGCTGTGGTTCAACGGAAGCAGGGCCCCTGCCCATCCCAGGCACCGGCCTCTGAGGGCCTCACCCTCCCCATTCCCAACCCAGCCTCTTCCCAGCTGATTATGGGGCGTTGGTCCCCCGTTCCTCTTTTCTCTGGGCAGGAGGAAGTGGGTGGGGCCGTGAGAAGATTCAGAGACTCAGTTTCCTCATCTGACAAGTGGGCTCAACTCCTGGCACCTTCAAAAGCTGGTCTTCAGAAGTGGTGGAGATTCAAAGAGACCATTCATGAAAGATGCTGAGCCAGGGCATGCCAGGTAGTCAGGTGAGAAGGCAGAGGCAGGCAGAGGTGCCTTGTGACCCCATCTCCCTGCTCAGACTTTCCCAAGGCTCTCCATTGCTCTCAGCATAAGACCAGGCTGCTCTCCCTCTGTGGAGCCTGTCCAGCCCAGCCCTCAGCCTTCCCTACTCCCCACTCACCCCTCACCTCACAGCTCCAGCTCCAGGGTCTTTTAGATTCACCTACTCCTCTGTTCTGTCCCATCATAGGGCCTTTGCACTTGCTGTGCCCAGTTGCTGGAACATTTGTTCCTTCCTTTCTCATCTACTTGGCCTCTATCACCCTTCAGTTCTCAGCTCGGCAGCTTCTAGGAAGTCTTTCTGACCTCCCCAATCACATCAGCCCTCCTGCCCATTGTAGGCCCTTGTCATTTTGTACTTCTCAGTCACAAATTGCCATTTCTGAGAGTGAATTGGCTAAAATCCATTCCCCATAGTGGACTATGAGCAGCTTGTCGGCAGGGATCATCACCTCCCCAGCACATGGCACAGAGTAGGTGCTTCATTCACATTTGCTGAATGAATGAATGATAAACACAGAATGAATAGCGCAATGGACACATCATGCCCCCAGACGCCCCCTCTCACATCCTGCTCTGGCCTTGGGCCCTGTGCCACCCCCAGCTGCCCAGACCCCCTCCCCCAGGATGGCTGCTTCAGCCACCCTGCTCCTTGTCCCCAAAGCACGACCTCCCTCTCCTCTCACAGCCTTATTTTCCTGGATGGAAACCAGAGACATGGACCTCGATCATGGGCTGAGTTCCCCTGAGCCTGGTATTCTAAGGATGGGTCTTGGGGTCACCCTGGAGAAGAGGTCAAGGCCAGGAAGCCCCATCCCCGATATCAACTAGAATAGCAGCCCCCCCTTAATTATGTTATACTCAGGGCAGTCACAACTTAGGTACTTTGACAGGAATTCAGTTATACATGCTCAGGAAAAAATAAAAAGACAGCCTCAGAGAGAAAAGAGCCGATTGATGGTGGATATGCCAGGAGGGGGAGGTATGGGTTAGCGGTTCCCCCACAGTCTGAGTCTGCTCAGATGCAATCCTGTTTCCACACCGTGGCCCCCAGAACACAAGCCAGGCCTTCCCTGGGCGGGACCCAACGCAGGAGGGATTGGTGGGCTGAATTTATGGAAACCGTACATCCGCCTCGGTTGGGGAGGGCTGTGTCCTTCCTGTGGAATCCCCAAGGGGAACTTGGCCGTGGTCGATTTCCACCTTACAAGCCAGCTTTAGAGCCTGCACTTGGGAGACGTGGGCCGCTGCACTGGGATCTTCTGTTGAACAATGGGTACCACCGCTCAGAAAAAAAGAAAAAAATTAAACCATCAGACAAGATGTCCCCACAGGAAGCACTGAAGGTGGCCTAAAAATTCCTACAGTCCATTCCTGCCCAGTATCACCTCCGGGCTCCTGAAGGCCCTGTTGCCCTCTGTTCTGGACAAGGTGGAGGTTCAGAGATCCTCTCCCCACTGCCTGGGACCCTCCCCTGCCCTGAGGTCCGGACAGCACCTTGGACCCCCAGCCAGGACTTACCTCCAGACCCAGACATAGTCTCCACGGCCATCTCTGGGAGGTTGTCTTGCCAAGACTGTCGCCAAGCACAGTGTTTTGTGCACCACCTGTGTGCCAGGCCCTGTGCTGAATAAGACTCTAGCTCCTTGCTAGAGCTCACCTTCAGGGTGGGCACACGACACTGAGCAAATGAACACATAAATAGAGGATGACAAGTGCGCAGCAGAAAAATGAATGAGGGCCAGGATGGAGAATGAGGGGAGGGCTGCAGTAGGGGCTGGTCTGGGAGGCCTCTCTGCAGAGCACAGGCCCAAGTGAGGAGAGGGGGCAGGTCATGGAAAGATCCAGAAGAACAGTGTTCCAAGCAGAGGGAACAACAAGAGCAAAGGTGGGGAAAGTGTGGGGGGAAATCGTGGGGTGTTGTTTAAGGAGTGAATGGCAGCACGGCCAGAAGGGAGGGTAGAGGGGCGAGGAGGAGAGGGGCCCATCCTGCAGGGTCCCCTGAGATGGGGAGGACTTGGCTTTCCTGGAGGCAGGTGGGAGCCACAGGAGGGCTCTGAGCAGGGCAGCAGTGTTAAATGACTGAGGCTCCAGCACGACCCCTCAGGAGGTGGTGAGGGCGGACGCAGGGAGGGATAAGGATGGCGGCAGAGGAGGGGAGGCAGGTCAGATTCTGACACGGTTGGAAGGTAAGGCTGATGGCGTTGGAGAGGGTAGAGTGGAAAACAGCTCCAGGGTCCGAGACCTGCTGGGTGGGTGGCAGCGCCATTCTCTGAGCCGGGGAGCGAAGTGGGGCATGGCTGGTTAACTGACACCCATGTCTCTGGAGGAGGAAGAAGCCGGGCTCAGGCAGTCCAGGAACAAGGGACCCCATGCGGCTGGCTCACCAGGCATGGGCAGGTGAAGGCAGGAGAGGGCTCCACCTCACCTCAAGGGCCATTTGTGAGGCCCAAGGAGGACCAGGCAGGGAGGAAGAGGAGAACCAGAGAGCTGGCATCTGGAGGCCTGGGAAGACAGTGCTCACCACCAAGAGAACAAGCCAGAGAAGGTTCGGCACATCCAGGCACATCCAGGCGCAGTCTAGAGGGAAAATGAATGTCAGCAAGGACTGGAACTGGTGGCCGGCCTGGCTGTGGCCCCGTCACCCTCAGAGCCATATTTCTTTGGGGGCAACCAGAGAGGCTGAGTCCTGATTGATCTAAGTCAGCCATGGGAACTCTTTTCTGGCTTAAAGGTGGACATGTGACTCCATTGTCACATTGTTACAGGGAAGTCTACTGGGACATTTAGGAAATATTGTCCTGCTTGATAAAAGAGTGAGATCCTGGATGAGAAAAATCTTTTTTCTGCCCACCCCCTTCCCTTCCTAATTAAAATGTGGTTACGTGGGATGTGACATCTGGTGCCACAGCAGCCCCCGGGGCCCATGAAGAAAAGAAAAGTGAAGAGATACCAACCTAGAACCCAGATAGTGGATCCCAGAACAGCCCCATATCCCGACTTCTTGTTCTAAGATTTAATTCAATGTCTTCACTGTTCCAGGCATGGAAGATGGCCTAATTGGGACAAAAGGAAACTGGGAATGAACCCTGAGACAGGGGAGAAAGTAGAGAGGGGGTGGGAATGAGGAGGCTGAAAAAGAGTCTTTTATTTATTCATTTTTAAGTTTTTATTTATTCATTTGACGGGGGGGGGACAGAGAGAGAGCACAAGCAGGGGGAGCTGCAGGCAGAGGCAGAGGGAGAAGCAGACTCCCCGCCGGGCAGGGAGCCCAATGCGGAGCTCGATCCGGGGACCCTGGAATCATGACCTGAGCCGAAGGCAGATGCTTAACCAACTGAGCCACCCAGGCACCCCTAAAAAGGAGTCTTTTAGAGAGGATTTCATTTGGGGCAGCAAACTCCTGGGGGAAAAAACAGTGTAACCTTACAGACTCTCAAATCTTCACCTAGAAGTCTAAGATGCCGTAGATAGTTACACCTAATGTACAGGTGGGGAAACTGAGGCCAGAGGCAGTCAGTAGTGGTCCAAGGCCACACAGCAGAGGCAGACTGGCTCATGCATCCAGCTGTGCTGATTACCTCCCACGAAGGTCCTTGGGCCTCTCTGAGCCTTGGCTGCTCATCTGCCAATAGGGATGTGAACAGCAGGTGGCCGTCCCAAGGTGTTGTGAGTCTCAAGGATCCCTGAGGCACTCAGCAAACTGGCTGAGAAGTGGTGAGCACTCAGAACCATCGAGGCACAGGGCCTGGGTGCATGGCAGGCTCCACAGGGGTGAGTTCCTGTGTCTGCAAACAGCGGATGCTCCATGAAGGGTGCGCCTCCTCTATGGGAGGCACACTGCCAATCCTGGGCATACCACTGACCCCTGTCATCTCCAAGAGGCCTCATCCACTCCCCAGCTCCTGGCTCCCCAGGCCCCATGTTCAGTGAGCCACTGTTAAGGAGCACCAACTCCCCACTGTGACCTCACTGCATTCCCTCCACCTCTGCTTGCATGCCTCTTGGGACAGGCAGCTCACTATTCCTCAGAGAGTCCAGGGGCTTCCCCTGACAAAATTCTTTGTCTCTCTGTGGCCCTAGGCAAGTGCCGAGGGCCTCTCCGGGCCTCCTTGTCCATGTGTGTAAAAGGGCATTTACGACAGTCCCGCCTCCCAGGCTGGTGGTGAGGATCCAGGAAGGCCCTAGCTGCAGCGTGTGGTCTACTGTCCCAGAGCAGCATGAAGTCTGGTGATTAGCCATTATTGCTCCCCGTGGCTGACCCACCTCCCGCCAGAGCCCTGGGTCTGTCAGGTTTGGGAGTCAAGGTGTCAGGAGTGTCCCTAGGTCCCGACCCAGGAGCTAGAGGAGAGGAAAGGAGTGCTGAGTCTCCCGGCCCACAGCCTAGCCCTGCGGCCCCTGGCTCCGACTCACACCCCACCCGGGGCCACCACCGTCTCTGAGGACCCATTGTTCCTTTCTGGCTCCACTCCAGGGTCCTGGCCCTGCCCAGGCTCCCACTTCTCTCTAGTTCCCCCACCATCCCCAGGGCTCAGGCCTCCCTACAAGAGGGTGCCAGGTGGGGCAGCAACTGAGCTATGGGAACGCAAGTTCGAATCCCTGCTCTGCCACATCCCATCTGTGTGACCTTAGGCACTTCACCTCCCTGTGCCTCGGTTTCCTCATTTGTGAAATGGGGTGACAGGACCTCACAGAGCTGTACTGAAGATTCTATGAGTTTGGGGATGGCAGAGTGGCCGGCATGTAGGAAGCCTCAGGGAACATTAGTCCCACTTCCTCTGCTCCCCCAGGCCTAGAGGACAGAGCCAGAAAGAGCAAATGCAGGGGTGGGGAGGGGGCCACTGGCCATGAAGCTGGGGTGCCATGAGCAGAGCACTGGATGAGGAGTCTAAGGCTCCGACCCTGCTGTGTGACCTCTGGCAGGCCGCAGACATCTCTGGGCCCCAGAATGAGGGAAAGAAGAGGCTGGGATCTTCCTCTCTCCATAGGAAGCGGGGGAAGGGGTGGGGGGCTTGGAGCCAAGTTTTCTTTTCATTTTTTTCTTTTTAGCACAAAGGGCTTGAATGAAAACCAGCTGCAGGGACAGAGAATCCTATTGTGAAGGCACCTGAGATTCCTGGGCAAGCGGAAGGGGCAGCATTCTGGGTGTTGGGCTGGGTAAACAGAAGCCAGGGTATCAGCCAGAGACAGGCAGGGGGCAGCTTGGTTGGGGATCTCCTACCCCTCCATCAGGGTGCTAGCCTGGGTGTCCAGGGCCCTCCCTCGGGCATCTCCTGCTCAGCCACAGTTTCTATGTGCAGACATGGGTAGACCGTCTTGCCCCTGTTTCCCCAACTGGAAAATGGGTACAATAACAGTACTTTCCCTCTAGGTAGGAGCAGGTATGTTGTTAGTCTCAGGGCAGGCTCCTCTGTCAGACAGTCTTGGGTCTGAGAGTGGCTCTGCCACTCACTTGTTGTGCGACTTGGAGTAAGCCAATTTAACCTCTCTGTGCCTCAGTTTCCCCAGCTGGGAGACAGAAACATTAACAATACTAGCCTGCTGGGCAGATGAACCGAAATGACTCAACATGGAGCCTGGAGCATGGCAAATAGTAACAGTTATTACTGTTGTTTTTCTTCTTATTGTCACATGAGCTGGACCTGCTGAGGCCCCCCCAGAAGAAAGAAAGCCCTCTTTCTTCTGAGTACTCATTCATCTCAACAATTCCATCATGTATTTCCTGGGCACCTACTATGGGCGAGTCTTGGTGAAGCCAACATTCTGGGAGAAGAAAGATGTTAAAGTCAGGACTTGCATGTGAAAGGCTTGCACATAATACAGGTGCTCAGCAATACCATCCACCCAAAACCTGGCCTCCCGTGGCTGCTCCGCGCTGGATTCTTGCTGGGCTCTGGGGACGCAGCCCTCATCTGGGTGAGGGTGGGAGACTGGCACGTGGAAGAGGCAGCAGCCTGTGATGGAGGGTGCCCCAGGCAGCCTCAAGAGCCAGAGGAGGTCAAGGTGGGCTTCCTGTAGGAAGCGGTTACGAATAACAATATGTATTGAGTATTATTATGTGCCAGGCACTGTTCTTTTCACAACAACCCTTTGCAGGAGGTTTTCTTCTCACACTCTCATTCTGTGGGTAAGAGTCTGAGACCAGAGAGGTCAAGTAGCCTGCCTGAGGTCACACAGCAAAGACATGATGGAGCCGAAATTCAAACCCCATAGTCTGAGTCCCTGCACTGCTCCCCAGACAGTGCTCTCCAACCTCCACAGGCTTCTGACCTGTTGTCCCCCCTGCCCATCTCCCCTGGCAGAAATCATTTGAGGCCTCATCCTCCTACCCTCCGGGGGTCCTGAAGGCCAGAGCCCTTCACAAAGGGAGGAAGGGATGGGAGTAGTCGACAGGTGTCACGAGCACAAACTCCTCAGAGACAGAGCCTGGCCCTTGTCATCCAAGTAAACAGAAGGAGGGGACAGACATTTTCCTGCTCACTTGATTCTCATAATAACTCCCAATGAGGTCAGCACTGGGTAATCCTCATTTCCAGAGGGGAAGCTTGAGGCAAGGAGGCTCGGAGGCCCGTGTGATTCCAGACCCTGCTGAAGACACGAAGGGGGCAGCCGCCAAAGTGACTCCCGGAGCCTCAGTTTGACCCTTCGTGAAATGGGGATGACCCAGGACCCACCTCTCGGGACTTCGGGGAGGAGCAAGGTGCAAGCGGACCTGCTCCCCAGGGGCCTGGCTGGCCATTCTCACCGCCACTATTATTACTATGGTGCTGCCACGCCCCAGCAGGCCTGTGAACCCACGTACCTGCAGTTCTTCCTGTAACGAAACCCGCCTGCCCGCGAGACCTCAGCGAGGGGCCCTGATAGCTCACTTAATTAATTATAATCTTTGGGGAAAGGAGAACACCCCCTCGAGCTGCTGGAGAAGCCACTGGCGTGGCTGCAGCCTGTGGGGGGTAACCTGACGCCCCTCGGCCAACCCGGCCCCTAGGTCTTTGTCTCGGTCCTGCCCAGATTACTCTATTTTTCCAACCCCAAACCAGGGCTGGCATGAACTCAATGCTCGGCATTGTCCTGGGACCAGGCCCTCCCAGGGCCTCCAGGGCCAGGCCTCATCCTTCCCCCAGCTGGGGATCCAGCCCCCAGGAGGCGTCTCGGGAAATCAGAAACCCAGCAGGGCCAGCTGGGGCAGCCTTCCGTGTGCCGGGTCCTAGGCTTCTTGCCTATCACCTCATCAAACCTTTACCACTTCGCTGCAGGGAGGGGCTCGCTGTGTGCCCATTTTCCAGAGGGAGAGACTGAGGCCCGGGGAGTCAGATGCCCACCCTGGTTGATGTAGGTAGAATTGGCAGAGCCCAGGCCAGGCTGAATCAGGATACCCCCCCAGAACCGGGTCTGGGTACCCCGGACCTGTAGCTGGAACCACGCATCAGGGGATTTCTAGGGCAGTTATGTCCCCTCAGCGGGAGGTCCTCTGGGGATCTTCACAGGGTAGAGATGGAAGAAAGCTGGATCATGAGGCAGAAGGCATCACGGCTAAGGGCTCAGATTTCCATAGCAGCTGCTCCGGGTTCAAGTCCAGCTCTGGGCCCTGCCTTGCACAAAGCCTTGCTCCTCTCTGAACCCCTCTCTGAAGCTATAAAACTCGGTGGGGAGGGGAATCAGGCCATCAGCTGGGTGAAACACTTAGCAGGTACTAAGTGCTCCATTAATAGGAGCTTACAAACCAGAGCTTGAAAATGGCAAAAGTTATTGGCAGGCACGCAGCAGCTGGGAAAAGAGAACCCAGACAGCAGGAGAGCCCTCCTGCCCCGTGTCACCCACATCCGGGGCCAGAGCTGAACACTGAGCAGCACCATGGGCTACCATGGATGCCCACCCACCACTCCAGGTGGGGCAAACTGGTGACACGCTCTCCTTTGCTCCCTCTAGATCACCACCTTCCCCAGCCTAATCTGTGCCTCGGAGGCTGACCTGGAGGGATGCCACCAACGCTGGGCTTCCTGTGGGGTTCCCTGAATGGAGGAGATGGGAGGGCTGGGGGAGCCTGACAGCCCCC